TCAATTAATGTATCATTTTATAACTATTAATTAGCTCAGTCGGCAGAAGTGTCATGTTTCCGACTGTGATTGCATGATCACCTGGTTTGATACTGCCTGTTCGAAACTCAATGACTATTGTCTTCTGTATGTCATAGTAGTAGTAGTAGTAGTAGTAGTAGTAGTAGTAGTAGTAGTAGTAGTAGTAGTAGTAGTAGTAATAATAATAGTAGTAGTAGTAATAGTAGTAGTAGTAGTAGTAGTAGTAGTAGTAGTAGTAGTAGTAGTAGTAGTAGTAGTAGTAGTAGTAGTGGTAGTAGTAGTAGTAGTAGTAGTAATAATAGTAGTAGTATTAGTAGTAGTAGTAATAGTAGTAGTAGTAGTAGTAGTAGTAGTAGTAGTAGTAATAGTAGTAGTAGTAGTAGTAGTAGTAGTAGTAGTAGTAGTAGTAGTAGTAGTAGTAGTGGTAGTAGTAGTAGTAGTAGTAGTAGTAGTAGTAGTAGTAGTAGTAGTAGTGGTAGTAGTAGTAGTAGTAGTAGTAGTAGTGGTAATAGTAGTAGTAGCAGCAACAACAGTTATAGTGGTAATAGCGATGTTGATAGCTTTGTATAGTAGTAATCCGCGTAATACAGTACTTGCGAGTGTAATGTGGGAAGTTGTGGGTAGTATAGCCATTGTGACACGAAAGTTTCTATACATAATGTTTATATCATATATAATTATAGATCAATTTGTAGGCAGTAATAGGTATGTCCGAGTTGTGCGGTGAGAAACATAGAACTTGGAATGTTCATATCAATAAGCATTTTGTCGTAACGTATAAAAGAAGTTTATATTATAATATCTATAAAAAAACTTTTCAAAAAAAATCTAAAAAAAATGTAACGCTAAATAATTCGATATTCCATGTTATTCATCAAAAAGTTGTTGTCGTAATAAACATAAAACATCCGCACAGTCCTTATGCGTTTTTTATCTTGGCAATTTAGAATCTTTTTTTCGGGGTTGTAAAAAATTACTGGCAATAAGCAATCGATGGATAAAACCTGGCTTTGCATGTTAAATATATTTATGGGAGTTCTTCTGTGTTTTCCTTTGTATGTGTGTTTGTGTGTGCATATGTATGTACATATGTGTGTGTGTATGTGTGTCTATTTGCGATGAGAATAAAAACACAGAAATAACTTTATAATTTGTTTTAATTAGTATTGTATTGCGCGTATTACTACTATACACAGCTATTAACAATGCTATTACTACTAATACTGTTGCTGCTACTACTACTACTGCTGCTAATACTGCTGCTGCTACTACTATTGCTGCTACTTAATATTGCGGCTACTGCTGCTACTTCCATTGCTGCTAATGCTGTCACAGCCGCTTCTTTCATTACTATTGTGATCAGTATTCTTGAGAAAACATTTGTTTGCGACCATAGATAAAATATAGCAGGCAGCATAAAAAGTGAATTTATCGTGCAGACGATGAGCGATAATAAGGGGGGATTCCGAGTGAAATTGAGTTTTGTTCGTTGTTTTGTTGTTGTCGTTATTATTGTTGTTATTATTATTATTATTATTGTTGTTGTTGTTGTTGTTTCTTATATGGCAGTTCGTCCTTATCACGACACGGCATTCTCAGGGAGATGATGAATTTCAACGTCAGAAATGATTAAAACCTGCCCGCCGATATCTTAATGTACATCTTCAAGCTGGTTGCATTTTCATGATTGCATTCTTTCAACTTATTTTTTTTCATCACTGGATTGTTTTTTTGTCGCTATTGATATGTCCATATTATTGCTGCGTGTGTTTGCGCATGTGTGTGCGTGTGTGCGTGTGTGTACGAACTGGTTTAATTTTTATTTTTTCAAGCTTTTGTGTTAGCGAGAGTGTTTGTGTTGATGTGTGAAAGGTGCCGACCAACCAACCAACTTCTCCGTGAAAACTCCTGCTACAGCAGCAGCTGCTGTTGATGATGATGACGATGACGACGACGATGATGGTGATGATAATGATGATAACCCCTGTATTCTAAATCTCAGCTCCATCCTTTAACATTCCCAAATTCCAATCTTTTGTTTGTTTTAAATAGCGTTTATACTGAAAGAATAAAAATAATTTCAGTTGTTTTAATCGCGTTTACTTGAATAATAATTTAATTGGGTAAATTGTTTTATCGAAAAATACAATAGAGAAAAATTTATTTGGCTTGGCAAAAAATTACATATAAATATATATTAAAAAATAAAAAGATAAATATATATATATATATATATATATATATATACTTATTTATTTAATAATAGAAAATGTGAACAATGTAACTGAAACTGTAAACAATGTGACTAAAGAACATAAACAGAAAAAAAAAACAACACAAGCTTCAGGCATAAACAAACATAATTTCATTCAAATGAAACGGAGAATAAGTTATGCATGGATGCATAGCAGATGTATGTAAGTGAATGTGCGTGTGTGTGTGTGCGTGCGCGTGTGTATGTGCGTGTGTGCGTGCGTGTGTGTGTGATAAAACTTTTGAATGAATTTTTTGTCCGTTCACTAGCGCCTTCATTTAATTATGTATGGTTCAATTCTGCTTTTTCGTTAATTTATCTATTTGCCATTTTTTCAAATTTTATTATTCAGTTCAATTTATAACTTTTTTAATTCACTCATTCATTTTTTTATTATTCATTTGTTCGTTCACTCACTAACCAACTCACTTGTTTTTTTTTTCATTCATTCATTCATTCGTTCGTTCTTTCGTTTGTTCGTTCGTTCGTTCATTCATATATTCATTCATTCATCCATCCATCCATCAACCAATACACACATCCATCCATCTCTAACCAATCATCAATCATCTAATATTGATCTGACGCTTAACATGACTCTTACCATATTTTAATATTAATAATAATAATAATAATAATAAGATAATAATAACAATGATAATGATAACAATTATTATTATTATAGTATTTATTATTATATATTTACATTTTACTTTTGACAAAATAGCGTCATTTTTTCTCTTGAAATGGAAAATTTTTAAAAATGAAAAATAAATCACATTTTCAAGTATTTCCTCGTTGACACATCTTAAGAATATCATCTGAGGTGAGATTAACTGGTTGAAATGAGGTGAGATATATTAGGCATCGGATATTAAAAAATATGATATATGATATGATATCTTTCAGATGTTAACATGACAGCTAAGGAACATATTATCACTATACTATTTATAATAACTTATCTTTTTTAAATATACCTAATGGGACAGACAGACAGATGGACAGACAAACGGACAGACAGACAGATAGATAGATAGACAGACAGAGAGACAGACAACAGACAGTCAGAATAATGTGGGTTCAAGAAAAAAAAAAGTTTATACGGAAAAAATTAAAACTTCGTAGTGGAAACTAAGAAAAAACCATCAATGAAATAAAGATTGACTTTTTCATCTTGAGCTCAAAATAGAGTAAAATTTATTGCTAATGATTATTATCAAGTCAAGCAATTTGTAGAAAAAGAACATTTAAAAGAACATTTAAATTGTTTGTCTGTTTTAGTTAGTAAGTTTATGTTTGTTTGCTTGTTGATGTGTTTGTATGTTAGTTTGTATGGATGTTTTTGTAGGCATGTTTTTCATTTGTATGTATTTTGTTTGCTCAACATTTTATAGCTTTTTTTACAGAAAAAGAAAAAAAACACTCCTAGTTTGTTCGATTGCTTGCAACAGTTTTAAAACGTTATCTCCAATTTCACACGAATCTTGTTAAGTTTGTGTACGTGTTTGTGTGTGTGTTGGTGTGTGTTTATGTTTAGGTGGGTGTGTTGTTATTCTTGTGTGAATTGGTATTTCAGCTTTTTGTACTTTCGTTTTTAAGTTGTATTTATGTACGTAAATTTGAATAGCATGGATGTCTTTGTATATTAGCGTGGACCGATGCTTGTTTGTATGTGTGTATATTATACAGTACGCCCAAGTTTTTTTTCGTCTGTATTTCCAAAGTGTGTGTAGGTTTTTTAGGTGTTTGGTGTGTTGTTTAATTGTAGATACGTGCATCACTGCTCTATAAATTCTTTTTAAAAATTAAAATTTAATACCGTTTAATTCTAAATTCATTATTCTTATTATTCATTGCATATCATTGGCCTAACTTTTGGCATAAAATTAAATGAAATAATAAAGAAATTTTATTGCGTGGTCTACGCATGACTAGATTCCCAATACCTTCTTGCTAGTACTTAAATACGCACGTATGTCGGTATCTCATGTGAAATGGCATTTGATGCTATTCGATATAACATGGTACTTGATGCCATTCGATATCACATGGTACTTGATGCCATTCGATATAACAGGGTAACTGATGTTATTCGATATAACAGGATATTTGATTTTTGTATTTTATACAGAAGTACTGCGATGTAATTCTCAGCCGTAACTTTTTTTCTCTTCGTTCAGACAGACAACACAATTAATACTGTCTTTATCTTCCAAGATTGATCTAAATTAAAATGTATACAAAAATATACAAAGATGTACAAAGATACACAATGATATACAAAGATATACAAAGATATGAAAAAGTATACAAAACTGAAGATATACAAAGATATGAAAAATATACAAAGCCAGAGATATACAAAGATACAAAAAAATCTTCTATTATATAATTAAAAATATACAAAGATATATATATACAAAGATATATAAAATTATACAATGATATAAACACACACACACGCACAAAATATTCGTGACATATGTCATATTGACCAAAGAACTGATTATGAAACGAATGATTAATTATCTTTGTTTGTCTATATTTAATCTTTCCTTCATTAATCATCTTTACTACCACCATAATTTTTGAATGGTTTTTTATTCATTTATTCATTTTTATTAATCATTCATTCGTTCGTTCGTTCGCTCGTTCGTTCGTTCGTTCATTCGTTCATTTATTCATTCACTCAATCATCTGACAACCACGTGCCTGGCGATAGTTTTTGAGTGTGGCCAGCATGTTTGTTCGCATCTTCAACCTGATCTGCATGATGTTGCTGATTGGACACTGGAATGGCTGTCTGCAGTTTCTCGTCCCCATGCTCCAGGAGTTCCCGGCCAACACCTGGGTCTCCATCAACTCCCTCCAGGTGAGTCTCCTCATCATGGCCCTCTCATGTTTCGATCTTATGTTCTGTTTTGTTGTGTTGTGTTGGACCGACTGGCCACCAGCATGCTGCTTGTTGTTGAGTGTGTGTGTGTGTCTTGTTTCATGTGCCATTCGATATTACGTATGATTGGTTAAGGTTAATGTTGATAACTTATTTTCTACAACGATGTAAAATGTTTTAGATCCTAAACTGATGCTATATTTCAAGTTTTTAAGTTTTCAACTTACAATAAATTTAAATATTTCTAAAACTCCTCAAAAAAAATTTAACTGACCATTTCGCAGCGCGCTCACTGGACAGAGCAGTACACGTGGGCGCTGTTCAAGGCCCTGAGTCACATGTTGAGCATTGGTTACGGCAGATACCCCCCACAGTCCACCACGGATGTCTGGCTGACCATCGTCAGCATGCTGTCCGGCGCAATTTGTTACGCACTGTTTGTCGGACACACGACAGCCCTCATACAATCTTTCGACACTTCCAAGAGACTCTACAGAGAGAAGGTTTGCTCAATGTTCATCTTCCTTCGTTTTGTTGATGTTGCTTCATCTTTTCGCTGTTGCTGTTGTTCTTGTTGTCGTCTTTTATGGCATTTATTTATTGATGTTTAATGGTGTTCGTGTTGTTGTTATTATTGTAGATGTTTTCTTTATTTTTGTTAATTCTGTGTTAACGTGAATGGCTGTTTAAAATAAATAGATGTTAGACAGCAAGCAGTGTGCGCGTTTAATGATGTTTCTTCATCGTAAACACGCATTTTCCATTTTTTAAATTTTGTATTGTACTGTTACGCAGTTTTTGTTGTTGTTCATGATGTTTTTGTTGTTGTTGTTCACGATGATTTTGTTGTTTTTGTTGTTCATGATGTTGTTGTTGTTGCTGCTGGTGTTGTTTATGATGTTTTTGTTGTTGTTGTTGCTGTTGTTGTTCATGATGTTTTTTGTTTCTTCCCTTGGCGAAGCAATTTTTTGCACATTGCATTGTATTGTTCGACATTTATTGAACGCTGCGCGCCGTTTAAACATCTTCTTTTCATCCATTTGTTCCTCCTTTCATCTTTTCATTCCTTCATTCATTCATCTATTGATCCGCGCATCAATCTGTTTATCTGTCTATCCATCTATCTACAAATACGTTCATTCATTCATCCATCTATTCATCCATATATTTACCTATCTACCCACTTATCTATCCATCCATCCAAGTATTTATATATCTCCAGCTATTTATTCTGTCATTCATCCCTCACTCACTCATTCATCTATTTAACCATTCATTCATTTATTCATCCATCCATTCATCCATCCCCACTCTACTTCCAAACAGTTGTTTTGGCCTTTCGTCGTTTTACGGTCCCGTTACGTTGTTTTATCGTTGTTGTTTTTATTGTTATTATTTTATTGTTGTTGTTGTTGTTTTTGATAATAATATCGTTATTATAATTGTAGTTGTTGTTAATGTTATTGTTGTTAATGTTGTTGTTGTGTATTGTAGTTGTTGTTAACGTTGTCGTTGTGTTTTGTTGTTGTTCTTTTAATGAAGTGTGAGGTTAGCAAGATTCGACACGTTTGCATGTGCTTCAGTGGATTTACATCGTAACTTCCGTTGAGTTGCTTTTCAGCCGTCTGTTTGTTTGTGCATGTGTGAGATTGTGTGTGTGTGTGTGATTGTGTGTGCGTGTGAGATTGTGTGTGTGGGATTGTGTGAGTGTGTTATGCGCTTTTGATGCGTGCACATGAAGTGTAAGCCTGTGTATGTGTATGTTTGTGCTATGTAAATTATGTAAGTTAGACCTGGCACTTGTCCGTCTAATTATTTCTGAATATAGAAACCTACATCTGAAAAAAATTAGTTGAAAGTTTCATTTCTTCAATTTTCAAAACCTCAACAAGCTCATCCAATGGTATCAGCCATACGTACGAGTGATACATCGTTAAAATCATTTTCTTGCTACTTATATCATTATATCATATCTCCATAATCACCTTTTCTCTCTCTCCTTCTCCCTCTCTCTTTCTCTCTCTCTCTCTTTCTATCTCTCTCTCTCTCTCTCTCTCTCTCTTTATGTACACTTATCCGTGTGCAGTTTAAGCAAGTGGAGGAGTACATGATGTACAGGAAGTTGCCCCGCAAGTTGCGTCAGAGGATCACGGAGTACTACGAACACAGGTACCACGGCAAGATGTTCGACGAGATATCCATCCTCAATGAGCTGAACGAGTGCTTGAAAGAAGTGAGTGAGTGAGTAGGATGGATGGATGGATGGATGGATGGATGAATGGATGGATGGATGGATGGATGGATGGATAGATGGATGGATGGATGGATGGATGGATGGATGGATGGATGGATGGATGGATGGATGGATGGATGGATGGATGGATGGATGGATGGATAGATAACCATTTCACTACCATTATCATCAGTCTCATTACCTTCATCATCATCGTCATCATCATTATCATCATCTTAACTCTAACCCCAGGAAATAGTGAACTACAACTGCAGGGCCCTCGTCGCCTCCGTGCCCTTCTTTACCCACGCCGACCCCAACTTCGTTTCGGAGGTCGTTTGCAAACTGTGCTACGAGGTGATAATGATGATGATGGCGGTGGTGATGCTGTGGTAATGATGATGGTGGTGCTGTAGCGATGATGATGATGATGGCAATAATGATGATGGCCAACGATGAAAATGATGATGACGATGATTGACCGCTAACAAGAATTGAAATAAAGATGATGATGAGCTTAAGAAGGTAACGTCAATTAAGATGATTAATGTGGCACCACGTTACAAATGGTCCCTCAAAGAATCTTACCATTTCATTATCGTTGAAACATCGTTCTTTTTTGACGGTGATGATTTTTTCATCATCATCGTCGTCGTCATCATCTTTTTCTTTTTTTTATATAAATATTCAATTAACTTGATAAATGTTTGAAAAAAGTATGATGAATGAATGAATGAATGAATGAATAAATAAAAATTGAATGAATGAAAATGAACATTCCACAACACTCCACACTACAGGTATTTCAACCAGGTGATTACGTTATTAAAGAAGGGACCATCGGGACAAAAATGTACTTCATACAAGAAGGTACGCACACACACACACACACACACACATCACACACACTCACACACATACACATTAAATACGTAGAGATAGGCACACACACATACACACACAGCACACATACATATAAGCTTGCATTTGAATAGACACACATACATACGCACAAATACACACACACACTTTCTAACAAACACTCTTAACTTTCCTCAAGGTCCACTCCATACAATGTCTACATCGCATTAAATCTCATTAAATTTTGTTACAATACATTGCATTAATATTGAAATAAACTGCGTTGCAAAACATCACCTTTTGCCATTACATAAAATTACATTATAATACATTACATTACAATACAAAATACATTACATTACAATACATTACATTACAATACATTACATTACATTACAATATATAACATTACTAACTTGCATCTCAGGTATTGTGGACATAGTGACCAAAGACAACGAGGTAGCCACGAGTCTATCTGATGGTTCCTATTTTGGAGGTCAGCTAAATTAGATCGATGTTAACGGTGATGTTATTTTGATAATGTTGTACAGTAAAATTAAATAGATGTTTTGTTACTTTAGTGATTTTAGTCGGTCGAAAATTTTTTAATGTCGCGGGTCAGTAAATTCGAATGGACGTTACGCCTTTTTGTTGATATAAAACTAACCACAAACCAAATTTTAATCGTTTTTTTTCTTAATTTACAGCAATTTAATATTAAAAAATGTAATTTGATCAAAATTGGTAGAAATTTGTTTGCTGACGAACGCGAAGAGAGTGGCAAGCGTGAGGGCAGAAACCTACTGCAACCTCTTCTCCTTATCTGTCGAGCATTTCAACTCCGTTTTGGAGCACTACCCTGTCATGAGGAGGACCATGGAAACTGTGGCTGCCGAGAGGTTCTACCGCTGGCTGATTGACTGGCTGATGATTGTGGTGGATTGGTTGACTAGTTGGTCGATTGATCGGTTGATTGACTGTTGGCTGATTGTTTGGTTAAATGATTAATAATTTTTCAGGAACACACACTCACACACACACTCACACACACACACAAACACACACACACACACATACAAACACAAACACACACACACACACACACACACACACACACTGCCCACACTTAAAATTTCAACAACCACCATCATTACGACACAGACTGAACAAAATTGGGAAAAACCCAAGTATGGTAAGCACTAGAGAAAATTTCGAGGAGGACATATTTGTCGTGAACGAACTCATCAAACAAACGACGCCACAAGAAAGGTTGGGCTGGAATTTTCATCTCTAATCAAATTAAAATTTTCAAGTTGAATTTTCGTGTTGGAAATTAAATTTTTTTTTTATTTAATTAAATTTTTTTTAAAAATAAATGTTTTTGCAAAAAAATAAACGTATCATGAATTCAAAAAATTTTTTTAATCAAATGTTTTCTTAGTTCAAATTTTTATTTTAAATTGAATTTTTATCGAAATTAATGTTTTTTTTGGCAATAAATTTAAATTTAAATCAAAAATTTCAAAACTTTAAAGTATAATAAATAAGTATGCAGAAAATAATGACGAAACGTTCCATTGTATGTAAATGTTCCCATCCAACCAACCGTAACGACATCGTAATTCAATTTAAATCATTTTCTTGTTTAAACACAAACAAACTTTTGCAATAAAATTTTTTTTCATTTTTGACACAGAAACAGACAGACAGAGACAGACAGACAGACAAACAGACAGAAAGACGGACAGAAAGACAGACAGACAGAAAGACAGACAGACAGACAGACAGATAGACAGACAAAAAAATGTTCATGCCGATAAAAACGATTCATACTTTCAACAAGAAACCTCACAACCTCATTCAATTGATGATTTTTCACATTGGAAATTGAGTTAAACGACCGACACGTTCTAAAAAATGTCCAGGAGAGTAAAAAAATGTAAGCTAAAAATAGGAAAAAATAAAATCCCTGAATAAGGTAAGTAGTCAGAGTATTGAGTTGAGTGAGGATAGCATCACGATTGATGTTACAATGTGTGTGTGAATGTGTGTGTGCTGTGTGTGTGTGTATGTGGTGTGTGTGTATGAGGTGTGTGTGTGTGTGTGTATGGTGTGTGTGTGTGTGTGGTGTGTGTGTGTAGTAAAAGTAAGGATGGCTTTCTCTGAAAAGTTTTTTTTGATGCAATTTCATACACATATGAATAGGAAAAAGATTGAACAATTGCACATCACAGTACCGCGAAAATATGTTTTACTTTTTTTTGCGTTCTTGGATCCAAATACAAAAATACACAATAATACCGTAGCGTGTACGCAAATACCCTTGATACGTGAGTGTATGTACACGTTGCGATACGCCTCATACAAATAAATTTATACCTCTTAATACAAAAATCACACGGGCAGTGTTGTGCTTTCAAAAAAAATACAAACTTGACAAAATACAAATCTGAAATGATTGCATTGTTTTTACCAGACACGCACAACACCCACACACACACACCTAACACACACATGTGCGCTCACACACACAAACATACACACAAACATACACACACACACACACACACACACACATGCACACCACACGAACATTAACGCACTTTTTTTATTATCATTTCTATGCATTTTCATTTATATAGCGTTCATTTATATTTTTTACGCCCAAAAATCTCGTTACTGACTGCTGTGTTGTAGTGCATGCAATCAAAAGAATCCAAGTGAATCAATATTAACTAACTCGACACTGTCCCAGATTAACTAATTAGCGGTACCATCAACATCTGACACAATGTTGTATAATGTATGTTTGCCTATGTGTGCGTGTGTGTGTGTGTTTATGCAAGCATGTGTGTTTGTGTGTTTCAACATAAGTTAAAATTTGTTTGCATAGATGCGTTTATGCGTATGTATGTAGTTTGTTTGCTCGTGTCATGTACGATGTATTTATGTACACAAATGTACGCTTTAGTTAATGTACATGAATGTAGAAGATGTGCGTTCATGTTTGTTTTTGTACACGGAGTAATGGAGAAAATACGTAACAATTTTGTGATGTGTCGTCTGCAAGGTGTTTCTATAACGGCTTTGTGTGTGTGTGTTTGTGTGTGTGTGTGTTTGTATGTGTGCATGTGTATGTTTGTATATTTGTACAGGTTCAATAGGATTGCGTGCATGTATCTGTTAGATAGTTGGTTCGTGTAGCAGTTATGGTTCTTTTCAACTTTATGTTTTATATTTATATATTTAATTAACAAAACACACATACACACACCAACGTTTACACACAAACATACACCACAAACACACACACACACAAATGTCTCATTTATGTTATTTAGTTTTTACTTTTTTTTACATACTTCCATCTCTCGTTCCAGCATGTTTTGTGTACAATACAGAAGAGCGTGTGTGTGGTGTGTAGGATTGTGGTGTGTATGATTGTGGTGTGTGTACAATATGTACAGCAGGGCAAACCACAATAAGACACAATGGGATGAAACGCTTGCAGGAACAATATTTAACTGCTTGAATGAATGAATGCTGTTTAACATTGTGACAAACCAAACTCACCGTGAACGTACATAAACACACACACACGCACACACACACACTCACACACACACTCACACACACACTACACACACACACACATACAAATACACAAACACACACAAACATACACAAATGTTTATATGTGATGGCTATATGTGCGTGGTGTGTATGATTGTGGTGTGTGTATATATATGTGTGTGTGTGTGTGTGTGTGTGTGTATGTGTGTATGTATGTGTGTATGTATGTGTGTGTGTGTGCGCGTTTGCGTGGTTTATGTTCATAAAATTTGCACGGGATAATTTAGATTTAAGCTCAGGTTGATACATTCTATGTGGATTGACGATGCGTAAAAATAGTCGAGGCCGGTGTGTTCAAGTTGCCATCATCATCATCATCGTCGTCATCATCGTCGTCATCATCGTTATCTTCTTTTTCTTCTTCTTCTTCTTCGTCGTCAAAATACTTTTTCCTTTAGACTTAGTTAAAGCAATAGTTGTCTCTAATGTTGTGCTCTAAACTTCTGTAACCTCGAAATAATAGAATGTTGATGATGATGATGATGATGATGAAAACGAAGACGATGGATAATAGTAAAAATGATGATGATGATGACGATGATGATGATGGTGATGATGGCGATGATCAAAATGGCAAAGTGAATGAGTGAGTGTAGGAGGATAGGATGATGAATGGACGGACGGTTGTGCAATTAAAAATTAAAACGAATGCTTTTTCCGACCGCTTTCAAAACATCATCTATTTTAATCCATCAGATTTTTTTTACAACTGTCAACATTTCTGCTATCATCACCATCATCACCATCGTAGTCATCATCATCGTCATTACCTTATCACCATCCTTATTGCTATATTTATACAGTTCAACGTCATTATCAAAACCCAAATCCTCGTCTTGCCCATCGTAACCATCGGTTTCTTTGTAATCATCAAACTCGTCATCCCCACGCAGTATCATCGTCATATGGTTATGGTTAACTGTTATATATTTATCACCACCCATGCCATCATCATCATCATCAGATCATCTTGAATATATCAGTCGTAATCGTTGTCGTCATGTCATCACAGTGCAATCGTGTCATTTGTCGCAGTAAGCTTACACCAACATGTTTTCAGTCACCTACTCATTTTCTCACTCAAGATTTCACTTGTCTCAATATGCTTTCTATTTTTTTTTCTTTTTCTTTGAGTTCTTCTTTATTCTTGTTTTTTTTTCTTTGTCCTCTCTTTCACTTTCTCTCTCTCTCTCTCTCTCTCTCTCTCTCTCTCTCTCTCTTTCTCTTCATCTTCCTAACAAAAACAAACAACAAAACAACATCACATACAACGTTGGCAACAATTAATATTGACAATAACACACCCGTCCGTTCAACGTTCACTGCATGTACTACCAGAGTAATTCCGTACACAACTGTACAACACAGTCGAATTGCAATTGTGGCAGTTGTAACGTAATAAAAGTTGCAATGTTGTGAAGTAGTAATGTAGTAGTGAAGTAGTTATAGCAGTAATAAGTAATTGTAATAGTGGAGACACTTGGAGTATTAGTAGTAAGAACGGATCGTAACGCTCGGTTATATCAACCGAATGAAGTCGTTTTTCTAAATGCTTCTTTCATTTTAAAATATTATTCTCTTGACTCGCTGGTTGGTGGTTGGCCGGTTGATGAATTGATTGACTGACTGATTGGTTGGTTGGCTGGTTTGTTGGCTGGTTTGTTGGCTAGCTTGTTGGCCAATTGGTTATATAGCTGGTTAGTAATTGTAATTAAGTTAATAACAATAACTATATCCGTGACATTAATAACACATTCAACAATCCTCACTAAAAACAGTTGCATCAGTAACACAACAACGTCGGAAAATAGCGATTCCGACAGCAACAACAACAACAACACAGCGCTAACAACAACAACGACGACATCAATGACAACCACTTCGAAACAGCAGCACAAATCCACGTCTCGAACTAAGAAGAAACACGTTCGCAGAAGATCCAGGAGAATTTCAAAAATAATTGCTGATGTCATCAAGAAGCCACTGATGTTTTCGTCAGGCAGTAACAACAACAACAACAACATTAACATCCATAACATTATCAACAACAACAATAACAGCAACAATAACAACAGTAGCCACAATGTTTTGTCTGTTATAAACATCGATAACATCAACATGGACATTGTTGTTAGCAGCGGTAACATCGATAAAAACATTAATAACAACAATGCAAACAACAACAACAATAATAATAACAATAATAATAATTTGGACAATAACACTAAAAATTGCTGTTTCAATGACGCCTCAGCCACAACTGTTAATGGTTGCAATAATAACAATAACAATAATAATAACAACAATAATAATAATAGCATTAATAATGATAATAATAACATTAATAGTGATAATAGTAATAATAATAATATCAGCAGAGAAAGCAATAAATTTGATAGCAATAATCATAAAACCGTTTCAACTTCTTGTAATAAAGTCAAAAACAGTAATAATAATAATAATAATAATAATAATAATAATAATAATAATAATAATAATTACGTCATTAACAATAATGAATGCAATATTAAAATTGAAAGTGAAGACGTATTGGGTTTGGCTGAAAAATTGCGTTTTAATCGTTTCAACGAGCAAAATCGTCAACAACAACAACATCGTCAACAACAACAACAATATCAACAACTTCATCAACAACAACATCAACAACTTCATCATCAACAACAACAAAAGCAATCACAACAACATCAACAACCGCAACAGCAGTCACATCAACAACACGAAATTCAAATACATCCTCAACAACAAAATATTTTACATCCTAATCAACAACAGCAACAACAACAAATACAACAGCACCACCAACATTAACAAAACCAACAACATCAGCAACAAAAACAGCAACAGAAACAACAACAACAATTGTGAAAAGATTATTGCAGTACAGGCATTTAACAAACACAGTAAAACCAAATTTACATGGGCAAATTGTTTCAAATGAGTATATGTAGATAGAATGATGATGATGATGATTGTGATTTTGTTGTTGTTGTTGTTGATGATGATGATAATAATGACGATGATGATGGTGGTGATGATGATAACAAAATGGACGATCGTGATAATGATGATGACGATGATGATGACGACGACGATGATGATGACAACATGATGATTCGCGAAGCAACAATATACAAATCAACGACAACGTCAACAACAAACAACATCAACAAACAGGCAGGCAACTACAAAACCACCAACAACAATTATATTAACACCGCCACCAACACATTAACAACAACAAAAAAAAACATCAACAACAACAAAAAGGCCATGGTTATCCAAGGTCAAAAGGCTTTTAAAAGGATCAGTCTAACGGTATCGTTCGAAACGGGAAGCCAAGAAAATGTGGATGAATATGCTACAACATCAACAACAATTACTACTGCTCCTACTACAATGTCATCAGCAGCTACTACTACTACCACTACTTTGCTGCTGCTACTACTACTGCTGCTGCTGTTACTACTACTACTTTTACTCTACTACCACTACGACTACTGACACTGTTACTACTACTAAAACAACAACGACCTCCACTACACTACCAACAACAACAACAGGCTATGGTGCAATGGTTAAAGGCACCTGCACCTTCTTTTCTGTGACCTGGTTCGAACGCAAGAAGAGGCTGTTTATCATGTGAGACCCCGTCTATCGTGTTGCGAGGAATTTATTGCTTGACTCTCATCAACGACATCAACATCAACAACAACATCAACAACAACAATATCAACAGCAGCAACAACAACAACATCAACAAAATTTTGAAAGTAGTGAAAGGCATTTAAAGGTGTACAGTATAAGTAATATGTAGTTAGAGGAATAATATTGACAACCAATAATTAATAATTATTATTAACATTTTTTATTATATAATAATAACAATAATAATGATGATAATAATAATAATAATAACAATATTAGTAGTAGTATATATTAAAAATATGAATAATAAAATTATAAATTCAGCGATTACAACAACAATCGCGCAATCAACTTGTCATTATTATTCCTTTTATTATTATTGAGTTTATTATTGTTATTATTGTTGTCGTCATTATTATTATTATTATTATTATTTTGTTATTATAATTGTTGTTATTGTTGTTATTATTATTGTGGTTATTTTCTCTGATCATCTTCAAACATCTAAGATTAAATTTGTTTGTGCACATGTGTGGGCTTATCAAAATCCTCGTCATGTAAACTACTGATTGCTTTATTGAGATTTCATTTATTCAACATCGCCATCGTCATCATGATCGTCGTCGTCCTCAGTTTCATCATCATCTTTTTTTCATGAATGTTTTAATCATCAAAATTGTTTCATTATTCATCTTCACCTCCTTCTTTTTCTTCTTCTTCTTATTATTATAATTATTGTAATTATTATTGTTATTATTATTATTTATGATTAATAATTTTATTGCGAGCGAATAATTTTCTTATTGCCGTTTCTATCTCCCAGTTCATCATCATCATCATCATCATCATCATCGTCGTCGTTGAAAAAATTATCATTATATTGATGCATATCATTAACATCGGCGCCACGTTCGTATTCACCATCATCATCATCCATTCATCATCATCAATTCATCATCATCATCATCATCATCATCATCATCATCATCATCATCATCATCATCATCATCATCCTCATCCTCCTCCTCCTCCTCCTCATCATCATCAATTCATCATCATCATCATCATCATCCTCCTCCTCCTCCTCCTCCTCCTCCTCCTCATCATCATCATCATCATCAATTCATCATCATCATCAATTCATCATCATCAATTCATCATCATCATCATCATCATCAATTCATCATCATCATCGTCGTCGTCGTCGTCATCAACAACAAAATCATGATAATTTTGCTTACTATCATCAAGAACGACATCGTAAACAACTTCATCATCGTCTCGTCATCATCAATGACATCATCATCATCGTCGTCATCGTTGTATCGAAAATCACAAATAAGAGCGCCAATTTCGCAAACGTAAAAGCGCGTAAACATTCAGTAATCATGGATACGTCGGCGTAATTTACATAATTCGCAAATTGTATTATCGCTCGTTTATCACCGTCATCATTATCATCATCAATTGCATCTTTACAGTCAGCATTATTGTATTCCTCCTAATCATTATCATCGTTATCATTAGAAACATCATCACTAAAAATACAATACAAAACACAAATATTATCACCATTATCAGTAAACTTCCATTTTATTCATTAACATTAAACTTTTTATAAGCGTAGGTTACATCATAATTATATTATAATCATAATTCATCTTTCTTCATTCATCATTTTTCATTCATAATTCATCATTCATCATTTCTTGATCTTCAGCACGCAGCTATCATGAGCACATATTATCTTACTCTCACCTAAGGATAATAGTAAACCTAGACCTTACTTACATAGTTTTATGTAAACTTTTGTGCCACAAGGGTTGTAGCAGCCACACCACACGACGCACGTACGCATATTATACACTCCGCAAGACATACATAAATAAAAACTTTATACACTCCGCAAGACACACATACACCCCACAAAACAAACATAACCACTTCATATGCACACACACAAACATACATACACACTATATACATACACAATAAAACATACATATACACTCCGTATACACACAACAAGACATACATACACACTTCATACACTCTACGCCCAAGTGACACGTTTAAAAGTAGTATTTGAACTAGATTACTCTGAAATCACAACGAAGAGACTGCACTTCTACGAAATGAGCTAACTCGCGAACCACATAGTCATAATGTTTCCATGATGATCGTCATTCATCATTATTCACCATTAGTCGTTCATCATTCACCATCATTATAAACATCGCCATCCTTTTATCATCATGTTATTTTGATTAGTCGTGTTATAAATTCACACGAGGTTTTCTAATTTGAATTAATTCTGTTATGCAAAGGCTTCATATAAAGTTGTATACACACACACACACAACACACACAAAACACACACACACACACACACACACACATATATATATATATATATATATATATATATATATATATATATGTATTATAAAATATATATAATATGTATTATATTTAGATAAACATATATAGTCTTAGTCATATACATGTATACATTAATATATGTATAGTAATAATAAAACTTATCTGCATTTAAAAACTAATGAGTTATTATTATTAATTAACCAATTATTTAATTCATTTATCTATTGATATACTTAACATTTTTTTAGAAAATTATATAAAAATACTCAAATAGCGAGAGAATGAGTGTCTGAGTTACGTTACTAAATTAAGTTTCATTATTATATATCCATAGTTTCATTACACTTTCGCATTACAGTATCATGAATTATTTTTTATTATGTAATTATTTTTTAAATTTGCAGGCTAATAATTACATTATGGCGTGTATAAATAGATATTACTAATCTAAAATATTTTAATTTGCAAATTAAAATAACGAACGGACGCATATTTCGGTTATTTGTGAAATTTTTTATGAAAATTTTTTATTGTTATCGAATAATTTTTTGAAATAAATGATCAACCAATTATTTTTCGTTTTTTTGGTGTCTCTTTTCTTCTTTATCAGCTAATTTTTTGGAAAAATTATGTTTTTCATAAATTTCTTTAAAAATGATCAGATAAATTCACATCATTTTCATCTTCAACTCATTTTTTAAAGTACAAACTAAGTTTTACTAAAACTTTTTAATCAAATTTGCTTCATTTGGTTCAATTAATATATCTGATAAATACTTAGGGAATAATTTAGATTGAGACTTGTAAATGAACGTGCAAATTTTAAAAATTATTCTATATTTTATAGGTAGCCAGTGCAAGAGAACAAGATATGGAGATATATGAGAAAAGAAAGGTGTATGTACTTCTGGTGTATGACTAATTACAAATTACTTCTACTAATGTGTGGCAATTACTTTTAACGTTTTAATGAAAGATTACGTTCCAGCTACACTACACTATAATATTTTCAAGCTGGAAAGCCAGAAAAAAGTTTTCTTGCAAATTTAAAATGGTATAATCAGCCGTCAGCCCATATCATATACTTAAAATGTACCATTTTATTTTCTGGTCTCTATATAGCTTGGCCGATTTGAGAGGGTCGAACTTGACAGGCCTCCCTCCAAATGAAGATAAGAAAAAGTTTATGGTAATCAAGTATGAATGTAGAATTATTTTCATTTTCTACACTAATTTATCATACACACAACTTTTTCAATACTCGTAACAAGTTTTTAATTTATTTCGTTGTGGTGTCTGGGTAGTTTTTTTTTCTTTAAAATGATGTGTTTTAAAAAAACCTAAACAAAAATTTACAGATTTTAAGTTAGGCGCTACAGGATGTCTCCTTTTTTTCATTTATGGGCGCTCTATGGCCAGTTTTTGATTTAAAGTGATAGTAACTTGTAACTTTTTATTTCATTTACGTTAAATGTCGTCATTGAATTGTTTTTAAAAACCACAAATTAAAAACTTTACAACTGAGGAAAACATTTTCTTCATATAAATTCAGTTTTTTTATTAAGTTTATTTATAATTTTATATCATCAGGTCATCACAGAACAACAATCTTCAATCGAAAATGAAAAAAGCTGGTAATTAATTAATTTTTTTGTTTTAACTCCGTGTAATTTTGCGTTAAGTGAGCGGTTGATTAAACTAATTGAATAATTAATTTATATATAATTTTAAGCTACAAAGCCAAAGAAAGTAACAAGTGCCTACAAGATGGCCCCATCAATGCCTGAAGGGATGGTTTTGTGTGACTTGATGAAAAATCAGTGGAAGATTGGAGCACCTGTTGGAAGTGGAGGCTTCGGCCTAATATACCTCAGTAAGTCCAGTTTGTAAATTTTCATGATTGGATAATACATTTTTTTATTAATACTATTTAATTTATTTTTGCTTTGCTTTAATTTTTAATTCCTATTAAGTGTTAACAATTAATTGTTAAACATTTTTTGCTTCCTGGTGTTTTCTTTAAAATATAAGCCTTCAAAGGTTTTTTTTATACTTTAGTGTCTAATGTATTAAAAACTTTTCCTTGTCCTTTTAAGATTTTAACAAGTCAATTTGTGGGTATAAATATTAATATGAACTAAGTAATTATTTTTAATAAAATTTGTTCACAGCCCAGCCAGCATCAACGGCACCAGTCTCTAAAAATGCTGAATTTGTCATGAAAATTGTTAGAATTTTTTTAAAAATTTTTCATTTAATTGTTTAATCTACTTATTTTTACAATTATTTAATAATCAGTTAGATATTATTTTACTAAATAATTTTTGCATATAACAATCCTTAAACTTCACTGCCATGTTTTTTAAATTAATTAGGAACCGCACGAAAATGGTCCTCTCTTCTGTGAGACAACATTCTTTCAGAGAGTTGCCAAACCTGATCAAGGTAGGGGCTGACACTTTTTTTTTATTTATCATATATACTATATATATCAGACATGCTTGCATACATATGCTATGCATTTATTTATTTATTCAGTTATATATTGTATTTATTTACCTATTAAGTTATATATTATATTTGTTTACTTACTTGAAACCCAGTGACAGCCTACATGAATAGCAAAGGATTGAAGCATTTGGGTGTGCCAAAATTCGGAGCACTTGGTCACCATGAGAAGGATGGCAAGAAGTATCGATTCATGGTCATTCAGAGGTTTCTGACTGACCTTCAGAAGATGTTTGAAAGCAACAACAATACGTTTCCTCACCACAGCATTTTTATCATCGGCCTGCAGATGGTACGATCTTAATGTAACTGACCTCATTACTTGCATGCCGTCATTTTGTTTCTTCTATTTTTCAAATTTAGTAATTAAAATCAATAAAATATTTGGTGAAAATTTGTTTTTTATCTAAGTCGATGTGAATGCTTGAAAATGTGTCTGTCGGCAAATAAATTAAAATTCATTTTGATGTTGTTTTTTTTATTTTTCAATGCCAATCTCCTTACATGTACACACACACACGCGCGCGTGCGCGTACACACACATACAGTTGGATACATTGGAGTTCATTCACAGCCAGGGTTATGCACATGCTGACATCAAGGCTGCCAACATTATGATTGGTCTCAAAAATTCAAACCAGGTCTACCAATCAATCACTTTGTGATGATTTCTGAATGTGGTGTGGTGGGATGTGGTATGGTGTGGTGTGGTGTGATGTTTGTCTTACCTGATTGGCATGCTGCTTGTTTGGATTTTTTCAAAATAGTTTTATAAACTTTACATTTGAGCATGTTATTTGTTCTGGATACATAAAGAAATTATAAAGAAATAAGAATTTTAATATCTGTGCCCTGGATTATTTTTTGAAAAAATATGAAACTTTATATTTAAGACTTTATAAGCTTTAATAATATTATTTATTACTTTCATCTAAAAAAAAATAGCAACCTAATAAAAGTTATGAGACAAACTGACAATCTCACCATTGACATTAGGTGTTCTTGATAGACTATGGACTGGCATTCAGATTCCTCGTCGATGGAAAGCATAAGGAATACAAGGAGGATCCAAAGAAGGCTCATGATGGAACTGCCGAGTATGCAAGCAGAGATGCGCACAGGGGTGTCTGTAAGTAATTTTTACTCTCTTCTCCTCTTTCTCTCTCTCTCTCTCTTTCTCTCTCTCTCTTTCTCTCTCTCTCTATTTCTCTCTCTTTCTCTCTCTCTCTCTCTCTCTTTCCCTTTCTAAGCGTTTTTGGGTTTCGTTCATTGTTTTTTTTTTTTTTTTCAAAATTTCACTTTTTAGAAAATGTAAAGTTTGTAGCATAAGACGAGAACAATGAGTAGTTACTTTTTGTATAAAAATAATTTTGAAAATGAAACTGTAGAGAAATTATAACAATAAAGGAGAGAGAAGTGGGGATAATAAAAAATCAGTAGGAAATAGAAATGCAAAGTCAGCCAATGAACTCCAAATACAGGCTGTGTAATGAGAATAATAGATTATTTAAGAAATAGAAAAAGGAAACAGAAGAAAAAAATGATCAAATTATAATGAAAATGTGGTTATGATGACGTCACACACATGCAGGGCCGTCAGCACGTGGAGACCTGGAAATTTTGGGTTACTGCATGTGGCAGTGGCTGGCCGGCTCGTTACCATGGGAGGGCAAGATTGATGATAAGAACTTCGTGTCCAACCAAAAAATCAGGTCTACACTTGTGTCTAGTTCTGTTCTGTTTTTTTTGCGTTGCTTTCAATTTAAATCTATTTTATATTTTTTGCTTAAAATAATTTCTTTACAATTTCGATAAAGCATGATTAAGTTTTGGATTTTAATTTGTAAATTATTTTGATGTTCGTACTCCAGATACATGTCCAACATCAACTCTCTCATCGGTCCATTAATAAAGAATGAAGCAAGTTCAAGTGAGTTTCAGTTGCTAGATATCTTCTGCTCCTTTAATCTCTTCACGGAGTAAAAACATTGAAATAATTTTCGGAAAATAATTTTATGAAAATAGTTTTATGAACGTCTTCAGAGGGCCTGTGTGGATATTTGAACGTCATTGCAAAGCTGAAGTATGATGAAAAGCCTAATTATGAACAACTGAGGAGCATCTTCAAGTCAACACTGGCATCTTTTGGCTCTAAGAGTTCAGAGAAATTAGATCTAACTAGCAAATCAGTTACAGCAACATCTGATTCGAAGGCACAATTTCAGGTCAGTCTGTTGTTTTTATTCTGCTACCAACCTCTTGCAGCGTTAAACTGCATTTCTGTGTTATATTTATTCTCAACAACTTGCGTTAAATTGCATTTGTACGTAAATGTATTCCGGTTTATAACATTTTTGCAGGTGAATAAAACACCATTGAAAGGTAGGAAGAGAATCTTAAGTGAGGAAAATGATAATAAAATTGATGTCATGGATACAAAAAAAACCAAAGTTGCATTGGTTTCTAAGTATAAATCTCCAAAACGTATACAAGTTCGTTTACCATCTCTTGCCAAGAAAACGACACCTGCCAAATCTAACAATAAATCATCTGCTGAGAAAAAAAAGCTGAAAGGTTTGTCTTCATTAAGTGCGTTTATCTTATTTTATTATTCAATTTAATGAATATTTGCATTGTTCAGAAAACATGTTGTTTGTATTGCAGAGAACCTAGTAGTTAACAATTGCAACAACAATCAAGTCATGGTCACTGGAGGTCAAGTTGTTAGTCCTCTCGTTCGTAAGCGCAAGCGCAATGAGATTAATTATAACGAAGATGAAGACGTCAACATATGTTCAGAAGCAGTCGATGACGGTTATTTCCCATAAGCTTTTTGCTTTCAATTTTTGTGAGAATTCTGAAATTGTTTATTTTATTCCGTTTAGATTATGTCGTAGCAACATCCAAAAGAGTGAAAAGAAAAAATGTACCGATGGCCGCCATAGGAACCCAAACGTCCCCTGGCTTGAAAGGACTGCCCAGGAGTAGAAATCCAATCAATAGTTGAATGCCTGCATCTTCTGATCGTTCACACGGGATGTTTATTATCTATGTCAAAACACATGTGTAATTTGTTACAGTAAACAAATATTTTTGTTACCAGCTACTTTTTTTACTATCAAGCCATTTTTGCAACAATTCCAATAGACCACTGACTTTAGAACATTCGCAAAGTTTTGTCGTCTTAACATCTGTTCACAAATGTTTGAATACTATTTGCGGTGCATGATTAATTAACGCATTTTATACTGTGCGACTAATGGCTAAGACTGAACATATACCTTATTTAAAATGGTATGTGTATGGGTGTATTTGATCTAGCCAGGCTAGTGAAAAGCAGCATTTTTAGCAATCAAGTTCATGCAATAAGTTTCTAATAGTTTGTAAGAAACGTTTTTAAATTGTTTCATAAGAAATAAAATAACAAGTAGTCATAAACTAAAGTTTTTCAAAGAAAGACCTGCCAATGTAATATAACTTCTTCAGTAACAATCAATCGACCAATTTGTTTGTAAAGCGCTATTTCCGCGTTGTTCAACAGCGCTCCTCAGTGAATTTTGAAAACCGATGAGCTTGAGATCTGTTCTGAACTTTGCAAGTGAGGAGTAGTTAGAGAAGGGGGTTGTGGGTTCCAGAGGAAAGGTCTGGAGGAAGCAGAGCTGTCAATCACTAGAGACAGTTTAAATAACGATGCTACGTCGGCAGAAGCGACAAATTTTTAAAAATTGGCAAAATTGGGATTCTAACTGAGGTGGCCTAAACAGAGAATCAGTCTAAGCCAGCGCCACTGAAATTTATGTTATGTTACATTCGTGGCTGGTTTTTCAAATTCTTTCCAACAAATTTCAAATATTTGTGTTGTGATTAATAATATAAAAAGTTAAAAACCTTTTTGACCGTTAACCGCATAAAATCAGCGTATGATTGATCACTGAACATTATATAATGTCACTGAATGTCTAAAATTATAAAATAATTTATAATATTTATTATTTAAATTATAATATAAATTTGTATATTAAATCTATTTTGCATACATGATTATAAGCACATTTGTAGATTATAAGTGTATTTAATAAACATATTTACTCCCCTAAGACGTTCATGATTCAAAGCCAATCGTAAATATCGAGTTAATTTCGTTTCAGTAGTTTTTTTTTCTTATTTCGAGTTGGTTATGCTTGTTTGAGCGATCTTTTTTGGCTGTTTTGAAAAATGTCCACTTGGATTCGAGAAGATGCGAAAAGAAAGAAATCATGGATTCAAAGTTTGTGTGAGAGTGTTTTGAAGAGCGGCTACGTGCCCAAACATGTGGCAGTCATCATGGATGGCAACAGAAGATATGCAGATAAAAATAATTACAAGAGATCAGTGGGGCATCTGCTTGGCTTCAATAAAGTCACTGAAGTTAGTTTCCTGCTGGTGCTGGTGGCTAGCTGGGGGTGTGGTAGTGGCCGATTTTTTGTGGACTAATTGCTAATATGCTTTTTAATTACATAATATAATAATAAATATAATTTATATATCAGTTGACTGGTTGACTGGTAGGAGAGACATTACAAAATAAAATTATTTTTAATTTGATATTATATATACAAATAGAATTGAATTACTCTTTTTCCATTTCCATAGATGCAAATTGTGTAAGAAATAATAAAAAAACATTAAACACATGATGTAATAATTCATTAAATTACATTGTGATTTGTTGTAATTATATTTTCAACTGATCTAAAAAACAAAATGGGTATTATTTATTATTAATTTGAATTTTTAAAGACATTGGAGTGGTGCATGGGACTAGGCATTAACGAAGTTACACTCTATGCTTTCAGTTTAGAAAATTTCAAAAGATCAAAAGAAGAAATTGATGGCCTCATGGAGTTAGCTCGTCAAAAGTTTACAGCTCTCCTAGCTGAGAAGTAAAAAATGAAATTGTTATATTGCTGTTTGGAAAACTATTTTTTAACCCCATTCCAATCTGTCTTGTTTGACTGATCAAGCAGCTGTGTTTTAATTTCAATAAGAAAATGATTTTATCTTGATCTTGGTCATATTTTTGGTGTTCAACAAGTTTTGAAAGAGTTTTCATAAAAACAAATAAACTTTAATTTTTATTCTAACCAATTTATAAAATTTTCTTAGGGAATTGATTAGCAAGCACGGATTGTGTTTAAGAATAATTGGAAACATGGATTACTTACCCATCGACATACAGCAACTTTTTGCAGAGGGCATTCATTCCACCAAGGATAACAACAAGTAGGTTATAATCATTCACCTCAAACCGTGAACAGTACATTTATATTAATAAACTATTTAACTAAAGAGAGAAACCTTCATAATAACATTTTGTTTTCAGAGCATTTTTGAACATATGCTGCGCTTACACGTCAAGAGAAGAGATGACAAACACCATGGTGCAGATTGTTCGAGGTGTTTCTAAAGGCCTTATCAAACAATCGTCAGTGGATGCTGCATGAATATTTTTTAGATAATATATTCTTATATATAATAAGATTTTTTAGCTTGAATCTAGATTGTTATGTTAAGTAGTAAAAGCTATTTTTCACTAAGCATTACCACTGATGCTTCCTTCATCTGTCAGTTGCTTCCATTGGTAAAAAAACAAAAACTAAATATAATTCACACTTGAAATGCACTGCAGTGACATTGATGAAGATTTATTCGAGAAATGTTTGTACACGCGACATTCCACGGAGCCCGATCTTGTCATCAGAACTTCTGGAGAAGTCAGGTTGAGTGACTTTCTGCTCTGGCAAGTTAGTTTCATTGTTGGGCGGTTTTGGTTGTTTGTAGGTTTTGCTAGGGGAAGGTATTTTATTTTGTTGCTGGGTGGTTTTTTTACTTTATAATTTGTTATCGCATCAAATTTTGATAACTTCTTTTCTTTCTCCTGTTGTCAATCTTTCTTTTACAACAAATATACAATAAAAAAGTTTTTGAAGGGTTAATCAGATGATTGATTGAAAAATGATTAAACTTTTTTTTTAGAGTTCCTATTCGTTTTTATCTTTCACAAAAGTCCTGTGGCCAGAGTACTCCTGGTGCCATTTCTATTCCGGCATCTATTACTTCCAGAGGAACTATCAAGCTATTAAAGTTGGTTGGCTGGTTGGTTGGTTGTCTAGTCGATTGATTGGTTGGTTGTCTGGCTGATCGATTGATTGGTTGTTTAGTAGGCTGCCTGGTTGATTGATAGATTGGTTGTCTGGTTGATTGGCTGACTGATTGATATTTTGGACTTTTTTCAAAATTGTCCATGAATGCATTAATGTATTTGCTTTGCTCACCTTTCAGAAAGGTCGAGAAGAAAGAGATGGAAGAAGAAGGGAGCAGAGGATGAGCGCTGACCAACGTGTTGCCATGGAATTTATCAGTAGCACCAACAACGATGATGATGTTGGTTACAATTCTTCATCAACAACAACAACACCACCACCTTCTCTAATGGAAAGAATAGTGAAAGAAAGAAATGAAAGAGTGAAAAATTTTTTGAAACTATTAGAGGATGACTATGACAAAAAGATCGAATCACTATTAAGCAATCGTCAACAATTAGAAAACGCAAACGTGAGAAACGTTACAGAGAACAAAAATATACCGACGAACTGCTAATATTATAAAGCTTGTCATTCATTTTCATTTCATTGTTTCTGTGCGGTGTTTGTTATGCCTGCCCAAGTTATGTTAATTATCTATAATAACAACTATCCATCCATTGTACATATAATCGTTTATCAACTCTACATAAAATAGGATAAGAATGTCAGACAGCCATCGTTCTGGCGGGCTTGAATGTATACATTAGGTACAAATGATTGATGAATTGCAATAAAAAAAATTATATTCATTTGTGTTGTTTCAACTTGTTTTAAAGTTTTTAGTTTTATTCTTCTTTGTCATTTTTATTGCATTATTATTATTACTACTATATTAATCATTATCATTACAATTACTTTTATTGATATAATCGTCATCATCATCATCTTTAGGACGCCAAACGCAATACAATTCAAATTATTTTATTACATCCTCATCATGAGATGAAATGAAGTACTAATAAACTCTGCACTGCAATGAAGAGATAACAAACAACGAGTTTTAAAAGCATTCAACATTTACTACACTAATTATGTGATGTCATTATTATTATTATTACTATTATTACGTCATCATATGTGGTTAGACTAAAAGCATCAATAGATTTTTAACACATATATTAAAAAAGAACAAGGAAATATAACAGACAGTTTAGTATGGATTTGGTTACACAATTATCTATAATGATAACAGTAAATGACTGAAGTTATATAGACTAGAAATATCTATATATATACATACATACATACATACATACACACACATAAACATATATACATACATACATATAGATATGTGTGTATGTATATATATATGTTGGTAATAGACCATAATTTTTACAATATTCTATAAATTCTACCGAATGTTTGGCGTTAATATGTTTGTAGTTCGTTTTTTCTCACTAAAGTTTTTTGGTGAACGTTTAGTTTATTAAAATTCAAAATAAACTTATTTTTCGAATTCATGCTGCAAATAAGGCCATATTTCGATTCCGAATGAATCATCGTCAGTGCTCTTTGTTGTATAACGCCAAACATTCGGTAGAATTTATAGAATATTGTATATATATATATATATATATATATATATAACACCTATGCTTACTGCAATATTAATAAGAGTTGATAAATTTTCTTATTTTTACAGATGTAATATTCAAATATAATAATAGTTTTATAAAACCAATTGGTTGTTTGATTATTATCATGATTATTATTATTAATTGAAGAGATCGTTATCACGACGAGTCGACATCAACATCGTCGTAATCAATAATTAATTAATTAATTACCATTTAAATTAATGAATTTATGCTATCTAATCTTACGATTTATTATTATTTATTATTATTATTATTGATGTCATAATTAGATAGCAACAATGGTAAAATGAATAAAAACAACTGAACAACAATATAACAAACGAACAACAAACGCCAACAACACACGCACGCAACAATTAGCATAGGGTAAGCAGAATAATAAAAATAAGAATAATAATAATATCAATAAGAATAATAATAATATCAATAATTAAATAATCGCGATAATGGTGAAGATGATAATGAAATAATAAATTTAAATAAATATTTAATTTATTGCAATTAATTAAAAGATAGGCCCAACAAATAGCATTTAACTCGCGGTGAAATTTCAGCTTAAAAAAAGTATTGAAATTTTGAAGAGATTTGGAAAATAAATAATTTAATATAAAGTATAATGATTAAAGATAATTAAATTTACGCGGACAAATGATTGAATGAATGAATGACTGATTGAATGAATGATTGCATGAATGAATGAATGATTGCATAGATGAATGAATGACTGTATGAATGGATAGATAGGTAAATCAATGGTTTACTGGAAGCAAAATGAAACAAATTTCAAGACAGAAATTCACAAATTTGAAACAAGATTTTTAATTGATAACAATTAGGAGATTGCAGACAGAAACGCGGATACACGCATACATTGACAGATACAAACGGACATTACCATGTAATATGTTATTTTAAAACAGCATATACGAACATACTTTGGCGTGAATAACTGATGTTTAAAAATGAATTTCACGAGAAATGATTTTAACTAAAAATAAAGAGAAAAAGATACATATATATAAATATATATAAATATATATATATATATATATATATATATATAATATCGTAATCCAACAGCTTATACGAATATTTAATAAAAATAGAAATAATCGGATAAAATATATGTAATACCGCATGATTAACAAGAAAACAATGCACAAACATGTATGTGTGTATATGCATGATGTGTGTGTATGTATGTGTGTGTGTGTGTGTGTGTGTGTGTGTGTGTGTGTGTGTATGTATGTATGTGTGTATATTTGTGTATGTGTTTATGTAACGCTGTCTGTACAGTCATCGTCAATGAAATAATTTTATACATTTAATTGTGATTAATTATTTAATTATAATTAATTATAACTAATTTATTAAAAAGTTTTAGGAAAAACTTTTAAGCGCTATTTACAAGTATCAAATTTTAAATAAAGTAAGAATGATCGTCAATGGATTAATAGATTTTTTTTTCCTGTTTAAACAATGGTAACATTTTTCATCATCATCACCATCATTACGTCATATTCAATACGTCATCATTACATCATCATCATCATCATCATCAACATCACCAAAAAGCCAAATTTGATAATAATAACTCTACTTGGCTCTCATTA